TGCTGCCAGGCCCATAATCTGTCATGGGCCCCTGTACCGCCCCCAATTGCTGCTGCCAGGTCCAGAGTGTGTCATGGGTCCCTGTACGGCCTCCCATTGCTGCTAAGCCAGGCCCGTAATCTGCCATGGGCCCCCGTACCAACTCCTCATGCTGCTGCCAGGCCCGTAATCTGTCATGGGCCCCTGTACCGCCTCCTCATGCTGCTGCCAGGTCCAGAGTGTGTCATGGGTCCCTGTACGGCCTCCCATTGCTGCTGTCTCTATCGCCACACACTCTGCCATGTGCCACTTTCAGGTCTCCTCCCACTGCTGTGGTTTCCATTTTTGTCATAGGGTGCTGTATGGCCTCCCATTGCTGCTAGCCTCCACCGCCACACTGTGGCTCCACACTCTGGTTTTGGCCCCGTGACTGCCCAAATGAGTGAAGTGTGCGGTGATTCTAAGATCGATGGCACTCATCTGCATGTCATACTGACTGTCAGTATTATTTCTCTTCCCCAGCAGACTCCAAGGGCATTTAAATTAAAGGTACAGTGTTCTGCACTAATATAAAGGCTCTCTGAAGCCTAGAAACACCCTTTTATAAGTTAAATTCGCAGCGAATATATTCGACTCGAATCGAAATTTTTCCACGAATTCGCCGAATCAGTCGAATCGAATTTTTGAATACTTCGCTCATCTCTAATTATATACTGTCTATTTTAAGTAAATATCAGATACTGAATGCTAATATTAAGTTTCTGCATACTCCAATAGATAGATATTTTGACTTCTTTTTGCATATTCCATTCTAGTCCTTATTATCTTTATTGCAAAAAGTTTGGTGTTACTAAGTTCAATAGCTCAAGTGGAAATTTGTGAATTATTCAGAGCAGGTCTGCAGTCTCTGGTCATCTCCTGCACTGTCTGCAGTCTCTGGTTATTCCCTGCACTGTCTGCAGTCTCTGGTCATCTGTACTGTGTCCCTGGTATTTTCCCTGCACTATGTCCGCAGTCTCTGGTCATCTCCTGTAGTATGTCTGCAGTCTCTGGTCATCTCCTGTACTATGTCCACAGTCTCTGGTCATCTCCTGTACTATGTCTGCAGTCTCTGGTCATCTCCTGTACTATGTCCGCAGTCTCTGGTCATCTCCTGTACTATGTCCGCAGTCTCTGGTCATCTCCTGTACTATGTCCGCAGTCTCTGGTCATCTCCTGTACTATGTCCGCAGTCTCTGGTCATCTCCTGTAGTATGTCTGCAGTCTCTGGTCATCTCCTGTAGTGTGTCCGCAGTCTCTGGTCATCTCCTGTAGTATTTCTGCAGTCCCTGGTCATCTCCTGTACTGTGTCCGCAGTCTCTGGTCATCTCCTGTACTGTGTCCGCAGTCTCTGGTCATCTCCTGTACTATGTCCGCAGTCTCTGGTCATCTCCTGTACTATGTCTGCAGTCTCTGGTCATCTCCTGTACTGTGTCCGCAGTCTCTGGTCATCTCCTGTACTGTGTCCGCAGTCTCTGGTCATCTCCTGTAGTATGTCTGCAGTCTCTGGTCATCTCCTGTACTGTGTCCGCAGTCTCTGGTCATCTCCTGTACTGTGTTCGCAGTCTCTGGTCCTCTCCTGTACTATGTCTGCAGTCCATTGGTTCAGAATATTTTTTTTCTTGTTTTTCGCCTCTAAAACCTAGGTGCGTCTTATGGTCAGGTGTGTCTTATGGAGCGAAAAATACGGTAATTAATTAATTCATTCATTTTTAAAAAATCCCTATAATTGTTGTTGCTAGTTAATTTATTAGTCATTATATCCAAGCAGAGATACCAAATTAATATACTGCAAACAGCAGTAACCTATCTGTTTCTGAAGTCTGTTATCTCAAGCAGGTTTACATGTTTTGGCTTAAAGCAGAGGACTTCTTTAATATCACCTATAGAAAGAGGAGACTGAAACCAAGGAAAGGGTAAAAGCTATGATTTAAACCAGCCTTTCTCAATCTGGGTGCCCAGGCACCCTGGGGTGCCTTGAGGTTTTTTAAGGGGTGCCTTGGCAAAAATTTCTAAAAATTGCCCAAAACTTGTTTACAAGCCAGCGGGTGGAACAAGCTTGCCTTTTAGTTACACAAAGTCACAGGTTTTCATTGTGAACCATTACGAACTTCCAGCCGCCGGCATCCTGACAACCAATGACATCTTCAGTTGATAAAGAGGATGTCAGCTCCCTGCACAGCATCCTAGTTTGACCCTCCTCTGCCCCTCTCCATCAGTGCTGGAGTCATATTAGCTCAGCGATGGAGAAAAACTGACGGAGAAGAGAAACAGTGGAATACTAGTCAGTACCAGTGTTCAATAGTGTATTTGCTTTGGAAGAATACGTCACCTCTAATGTTGGGTATTCTACATGTGTGGATGTTTCTGCGTTATATAAAACTATTAGAATAGTTTTTCATAATTTAGAATGGGTTGCCCTTTTAAAATTATGGACAGTCTTGAGGCACCCCATTTTAGAATGGGGTGCCTCAAGACTGTCCATAATTTTAAAGGGTGCCACGGGACTGTCCATAATTTTAAGGAGTGCTTTGACTGAAAAAAGGTTGAGAAACACTGATTTAAACAATAGCAAAATAAACAAAACTGACAAGACCTATGTAATAACTACACAGAATACTACCCTCCTATATAGTTATACCCATTTTTTATTGTGAAATCACACTGATAGGTATATTCTATACTTGTATAATTTCAGGAACAAAAGAGGTAAAAGGGAAAACACTTGAAGTAATATGACTTATGGCCAGTTTACTTTTTATTTACTTTTATTATAATTTTTTTTAGCAAAAGCATGATTCACCAAATCAGTGACACTATGGGAATAATTAATTTTGACAAATGTAAAATGATCATTATTATTACATCTTGATTGTGGTAACACCACTCTAATATCAAGGGGCTTAGCTCTCAGGACTGATCCCTTTGTCTTCCAAATGATTAATAACACTTATTAAAAAGAGGGGCTAATTATTTCTGGGAATATTAGACTTCCTGAATAAGAGAGTATCAGATTAAAAGGAAAAAGACAAAGTAGAGCTGGATGCATGGGTCCCTTGTGAAACTGCTGGTGAAAGCCAATATGTCTAAGAGTTTAGTCTTCAGAGACACACCAGGCAATCCATACTAATGTAATGATTTTCTAATCACGTCCTGTGTCCCCTTCTGTCTTTTAAGTTTTCTTTTCTTCTTGCTCTCTGCTGAGATGTGTGGTCCAAACCATCCCAGCCATCCATGAAGGCCAGGACAACAAACATTTGAAAAACAGGATGGGAGGTGACAACTAGCACCAAATATGCTGCTTGCCATAATAGCCAAAACTCTATGGCAAATCCCTGTGTCATTTCCCCTGTGCAAGACTTCCTGCTCGGCCTTTTGATCACTCTCTTGAAGCCAATTTATACCTCAGCAGCTCCTAATGTGTTTCCTGAGACTCATTTCCTTTTGTAGGAAATAGATTCTTTTGGAAATAGACTGTGGGTTATGATGGAAATTGTAGCTGTGGGTGTAGTGTTTTTAAGCGATAGGAATACCATTGAAGGTCATTTTATTAGTAATAAGATGGAATGCCCAATGTATCCCTGGGCAGCTATCTAGGCTTTGCAGTAATTATCTGCATGCGCAGAGATATCAGTATTGTAAGGGGGAGAATGTGTTATAATCACTAAAGGGAATAACTTTATGCAGTGTACAAAGCAGAACTCAGATGTGTAAATCCTCGCATCCGACTTTTTAGAAATCATTTCCACAAGCTGATGAAATTTTAAGGATGCCTTTTGCTGCTGAATAGTTTTTGGTGTTGAACTATCTACCATGGGAAAATTTTTACATAAATTACTCTTCTAGCACATATGATTATATCACGTGGAGTCTGCTATTGCTGGAGACTTACTGTAAGGCTCTGTCTTGGTCTCAATTTAGAAACTTGCATAGTCACAGGGCTCTGGGAACCCCTGAATTTCTCTATCCATTTATATAGGAATTGATTTACTAAAGGCAAACAGACTATACACTTTGCAAGTGCAGCTGCTCCAGAGCTTTGTAAAAGTTATAGGGAGCTCTGCTGAATACCATCATCCAATCATATGCAAGCAAAAATGCATTTTTTTTTATTTTTATGTGATTGGGCATTCTTTGCAAAGTGAAGTTTTACACTTGTATTTGCAAATGTGTGCTAACTAAACCCCTGTTTTTAACGCATACTGTTAGACAGGTTAATTTGGTTTGTTTGCAGGCTGGCTGGCAAGTTAGAACTGTGAATTTTTCTCGTTTGTTGTTTGACATGTGTTGCCCTTCCATGTGCTCCTTGCTGTGAAGGCCAGTTATAGACTGGAGCAGTGACCATTTTTTATATTGTTGAATTGTTGGTCAAGGGTGTGCACTGGACACCTTAGCTGCCATTGAGCTACATGCTGGGTGTCCAGTACGCTCCTGTACCTTTAAGGAGGTGTGGCCTCCCTCAGGTCCATCTGCCCTTGGTCTATCCATTAAATACCTGTGCCTCTACTATGGGGGCTCTTAAAATTGGAGAGTTAGGAACTACGGAATACTGGGGTGCCGTGACGAGGCTCTGCAGCTTACGCATGTATTTGCAAATGTGTGCTACCTAAACCCCTGTTTTTAATGCATACTGTTAGGTTAATTTGGTTTGTTTGCAGGCTAGCTAGCAAGTTAGAGCTGGGAATTTTTCTTTTTTGTTGTTTCACATGCGTCGCCCTTCCATGTGCTCCTTTCTGTGAAGGCCAGTTATAGACTGGGGCAGTGGCCATTTTTTTTATTGTTGAATTGTTGGTCAAGGGTGTGCACTGCACACCTTAGCTGCCATTGTGCTACATGCTGGGTGTTCAGTGTGCTCCTGTACCTTTAAGGAGGGGTGGGCTCCATCAGGTCCATCTGCCCTTGGTCTATCCATTAAAAACCTGTGCCTCTACTATGGGGGTTCTTAAAATTGGTAGAGTTAGGAACTACGGAATACTGGGGTGCCATGACGAGGCTCTGCAGCTTACGCATGTATTTGTAAATGTGTGCTAACTAAACCCCTGTTTTTAACGCATACTGTTAGACAGGTTAATTCGGTTTGTTTGCAAGCTGGCTGGCAAGTTAGAGCTGGGAATTTTTCTCGTTTGTTGTTTGACATGCGTCGCCCTTCCATGTGCTCCTTGCTGTGAAGGCCAGTTATAGACTGGGGCAGTGGTCATTTTTTGTACTGAAGCTTTACCTCATTTGCAAAGCTCTGGAGCAACTGCATTTGCAAAGTGCACAGTCTATTTGCCTTTAATAAATCAACCCCATAGAGTCTGTTTACTGTTAGTCCTGTTTTGTCTGTTAATTGTACTGTTACTTTTCTTTCCTGGGGATTGCTCTTCCAGCAAAGTATTCTGCAAAATTCTATTTTCTAATAATTGCTGCTCATATATTTTTTTTTTGCCTTTCACTTTTGCTGGAAGAACAGTATCTGTTTTATAAAGTGGTATTGAACCCAAAAGCATACGTTTATTATATTGCAGCTTACCAATTCTTAGATGTAGTGACTGCATTTGTTTCATTTTTTAGGTTTCCTTTCTTCTATTTTCATGTGGTGATCTGACCAGTAATGCAGGGAATACACGATTAGAAAACTGAACGATCGTTCAGCCAATGTTCCACAAATATTTCTACCTCCATTATCAAAATAAATAAATGAATAAAAACCCGAACTCACTTGCAATGAGCAAACCCAACAATAATTATTATTATTATACAGGGTTTATATAGTGCCAATAGTTTTCTCAGCGCTTTACAATATAAGGGAAACAATATGGCAACAATAGAGTTCAATACAAGAGGGTTACGAGGGCCCTGCTGGAATTTGGCATACCCGAACTACTGGCTACAGATGGATCAAAGTTGCCGATCAACTTCTGTCGCACAGGGATGCCCAAACATGGATCAAAATTCAGCTAGTTCATGGAACCGGTCAAATTTCAATCCATGTGTGGGAGTCGCTGTTCAACTGAAGTTGATCGTTAGATTGCCTTTTGCTGAATGGGAATGTTTGAAAAGTTTTCTCAATCAGCTGCAGCAGCTGATGGCTATATTCTGACAGTGGAGAGTCCTGCTGTATTCTGACAGTGGAGAATACAATGTCCCGGCAGAGGGGATTCCTTCAACCACCTTGTTTGTATGGATGGAGGAATCTGCCTGTTTTTTTCCATTCAGTCTGCAGGCAGAAAGAAAAAAAAAAAAACCTA